GTGTGTGTGTGTGTGTGTGTGTGTGTGTGTGTGTGTGTGTGTGTGCCCCATCCGTTGTATACAATCAATTTTTGACTTTGGACATCGTATAGCATAATTGTACTTTGCGGTATCTTTTTCTTTCTTCCAATGCATCTTGCTTTCTTTCTTTTTCACATATACACGTACTCACATATACACAGAAACACACACACGCATAAAGAGAGAGAAAGAGAGAGAGAGAGAGTGTGTGTGTGTGTGTGTGTGTGTGTGTGTGTGTGTGTGTGTGTGTGTGTGTGTGTGTGTGTGTGAAAGGGCGCCTTGCTTATTCAGGATAACGCTTCTTTTATGAAGTTCTGATTGTGTATTTTTTACGGCAAAAAAAAATTTAAAAATTAATATGAAATATATTTTAAAAATCGCAACTCCCTTACAATAAATACTTTAAAATTTAGAACCTCTAAAAAACATATCCGGAATTTGAACAGAAATACTTACGGAAATATGTTTAGGCTGAACAATTACTTAATAGTAATTTTGCTGATTATGATGGCCGTAGTAAAAAAAAAAAATGGATAAAATGAAAGTATTAAAAAGTATTCGTAGAAACATAATATACAGTTTAGGGACTGCTTTCCGTTAGCAAAACAGGACAAAAAATATCTGATCCCTGATGTAGTAAAAATAAAAGAGATCCAACCAAAGTGTGTCATTTTCATGCACGCATGCATTGTGTGTCAATGAAAGGCTTGCCGTGAAGAGCAAATAAGTAGGTTGAAAAAGTAAATAATAATAATAATCATCGCAGAATTAAAAATGATGCTGATCATGATAAGATCAGAGATCTGCAGAAAAGAAAGGAAAGAACATCACATCGATCCCTCGTACTCTTTCTTCTGGCGCTGTTTCACACTCGTGCGCTGTGCGTTAGATGAATGAAAGCGAGAGCGGACGAACAAGAAAAGTGAAAGTAGAAACACTGTGCCGTATGTGCGCGCATGCGTGAGGGGCGGACCCGTGTAAATGTGTGTGTTTGTGTGTGTGTGTGTGTGTGTGTGTGTGTCGGCTTTTAGACTCTGAGTAGTTAGTTCTGCTTGCTCTCCCTCCTTCCCTCCTTGCTCTCCCTTTGCTCTGTCTCAGTTTCAGTCGAGTCTACCTCTAGAATAATGTTGCAAGGATCACCGACCTTCATCAGTGCGTCAATTTAAAAAGAAAACAAAAAAAAAAAAGAAAGAAAGAAAGAGACGGAAAATTAAAAGAAAATAATAATAATAATAATAATAATGAAAAGCAAGGGAGTCGGATTTTACAAATATATATAGTTTCTGGATTTTGCATTATTAGTTTGAAACAAAAGCACATACACACGCAGTAGTACGAGAGGAAAAGAAAAAAGAACAATTTAAATATTTTTTTAATACTGTTTATCTCGGAACTTAGAACGCATGTGCATTGAGTTAATATTTCTAGTGACATTTATAAATGCAATTATGTGAAAACAACGATTCGTTACAACGACTCGACTTCTCCTTATTATAAAACTGTACGTAATGTACACAATAATACCTATAGTGTTGTACTGTAATTGTGAAGTCGTTTGTGTGTGTATAGAAAAGCGTGGATGACGGACTACCAGGAAGAGGAGTGAGAAAGTGAGAGAGTGCGAGAGAGTGCGAGAGAAATAAAGAGATTTTGAGAGCAGTTGTGCAAGAGCGAAAGAGGGTGAACCTGGCCAGCCAACCACACATTTTAAAGAGTTGTATGAATGTTGGCCGGAGCGGTCATCACTATCTTCAACCGTATGAATTCCCCGGGCTAATTGTGAACTCTTTCTTGTTATTGTAGATTGTGAAAATGTTGAAACAGGACCGACGACACAACGGAAACTCTACGACGCCAGGATTTTCGTTTGAATCTTCCCCCACGCAGTCTAACTTTATTCAGCTACGAAATAAGCAAAAACTCGGAATAATGGTATTCACAGTGGATTTACTGGTCATTTTAATGTGCATTGGAACTGGAATTCCCACAGTGACCGGTAAGTGGAGAGCATTTTCGTTTGGTTGTTTGTTTATACCAACCTTCACACCCCTGACGAAACTACCCGTCTTTATACAGAACACCGTACCTGTAAAACACTTTCCCCTTTCCCACCTTAAATGCACCACCCGTCATTTCATTTATATACAAAATATACCCCTGTGTGATTCACATCTATATCAGTAGCCAATGTGATTATTAGTAGAAAGCGTATTACGATTGTCACGAATTTTTTTTTTTTTTTTTGGTGTGGGGGTATTTTATTAATCTTGTTTTCGTAATAACAACTCGTCCAGTATTTTCGTCTTTCTATCGTATTCGATCAGAGCTAACATGATATTTTACCGAAAAGGTTTTCCCACCTCCAGTTCTTGGTCCTCATAGTTTTTTTTTTATTCTCATTCATTCATTAAAAAACTGATCGGCATTTAGCATTTATATGATATCGCTTTTTTATTTATACTTTTTTTAACATTTTTTTTTAACACAATTTTATGTCTCCATTTTTTTACGCTATTTTTTTAAAATTAATTTATTTATTTTTATTTATTCATTTCACTTACCTTGCCATTTACCTTCGATATAAATTCATAAAATCAACAGTTATTAATTACGGACAGTTTTTTTTTTTTTTAATCATCTTAATTTCAAATTCTACTTCGTTTATCTATTTTATGCACATATTAGATTTCTATCAATTATATAAGTACATTTCTGACTATATCAACCTATATACATAACGACAATACGTGTCAATGACTATATACATTTCTATAAACACAAAACTCAGCGCACAGACGAAATATTGCATATGCGTGCATACCTGCATGTATACACAGGCATATCTTCAAATATGCACAATCTCTGCACCTGCATATACATACACCCTGACATATTGCTGCATATATAAACAAGAACAACACTGCAAACATATTTGTCACATATGCACACAGACATACCGCATCTCTGTATATACACACAAACATATTTATCCTTACATTCAAGATACACGTGCATATATATAAATAAATAAATATATATATATATATATATATATATATATATATATATATATATATATATATAGTCTGTATGTTTATATATATATATATATGTATATATTTGAATAATAAAATGCCGAAAGTATGGAGCACCCAGTGAAGATCGAAGATCGAACTCACTACTCAGTCATAATTGATCTATCGAAACAAGCTTACAAACACTACACCATGCCGAAGTACCTAATATATATATATATATATATATATATATATATATATATATATATATATATATATATATATATATATATATATATATATATATATATATATATATATATATATATATATATATATATATATATATATTTATAAAGCGTAGATGTGGCACAAGGCTGAAAGTTGGGCACACCTGGTGAGGATCTAACTCACAACTCAGTCGTAATTAATCAATTAAGACACGATTGCTACCCATTCTGGAAGTGGCCAATACACACACACACACACACACACACATATATATATATATATATATATATATATATATATATATATGCATGTGTAGTGAGTTTGATTCTCACTGGGTCCTCAGTACTTTCGGCCTTGTGCCGCATCTAATGTATGGTTAGTAAATCGATATATCTATATATCTATATCTATCTATACATATGTGTATGTGTGTGTGTGTGTGTGTATATATGCACAATTATATAAATAGTAATTCGTACAATACACATACTATATATTTATACTCGTGAAAGCATACTTCATATCGACACTTCCCACTTATACATATTGCTTCTGTCAATAAAAATATATAACCGAGATAATAAAGTACTAATGGCCACATATGTCATACACTCACTCAGGTACGTGTATAGGTAAATAATTTTTTTTTTTCCCGGCGGAAAAATTAACAATTCCTGTTCGTCATTAAAGACAAAAATAACAAAAAACAAACAAAAAAAAAACAGATAATAAATAAACCCACCGCTTCCTTCACACTTCGTTGATGGAGAAAAAAAAATTCCTGACTACATTAGAACATTTCGATAACATTATTAACAAACGCGGTTTTCACGCCTATGTTTCTTTTTTGTTTATTCTTTGAGTAATAAACGCAAAACATTCTTGTGTTCTATGGAAACAAAATCGAAGTAAAACTGTCAGTTTTATACTCAGCGGTGTCATTTAATTAATTAAATAATTCTTATATCATACACCTATTTTTTTTTGTTTTATTTTAAACGTTCACCTTATTACGAGAGGCAGGTGTACGTACGTCAGCGTGTTCAGCAATGTACAACACTCATAAAAGGAGTGTACACGCGGCACATTTCCAATGTAACAAAAAAAAAAATATGCACACACACACACGCGCGCGCTTTTGGTTCCTAAAATTGTTTATTCCAAACCATGTGATTTAGTATCGCGTGAATTTCTTCCTGAGAGAAGGAGAGAGAGAGAGGTGGGGGGGGGAGAATATCAGTAAATGAAACGCTACCTGAGTAGAGTGTTTTAGCTGCCTAAGACAATCAAAGAGGTGATTCTTGAAATATCGAAGTGAATACGTCTTGTATGTACAAACGTATTTCCTTTTATTACCATACCCCCGTTTTCTTTATTTTTAAGACAGACGCTAAAACTATATTGCATTCATTAGACAATCTACGATTTATTTACCGCTCTGATAAAAAAAAAAACTGTCTGAAAGATGAGTACAAGAAAAACTGTACTGTACTCAGTACAAAACACACGAGGGTATTTCTAGCAAATAAATATATATTCTAAAGATGTGTGAAGTATAGATTTTTCGAGTGGATCCGAGCTAGTTCCTCCATCAGTCTATCTATGGTGTAAGTCTATTATTTTCACTGTGAGTCCCACTATTGATCTCGTATCAGTCTGTCTATCTTTCTACTTACTACTATGTCCGTTTTGTTGTTGGCTTCGTCCTCTTTCATTTACAAATCTCTTCAGCCAGTTTAACACGTTATCTATCAGTCTGTCTCTTAATCTACCTGTCTCAGTGCCTATCGATCTCTGCGATTTCAAATATCAACCGCTTTCCACATCGACTTTTATCTATAAACTAACATATTATTGCTCAATTGCTTTTGGTAAAATATCTACTTATCTATCAATTTGAATATCAAGGTAACTCGATTACCACCCTCTCTTTCTATAGATCTCACGCTGTTCGTATCTATCTATCTATCTATCTATTTTTTTATTATTCCTTGGTCGCTTAATTTTTACATATGTCCAATTTATTCCTGCTTATCGATTTGCAGGTTTGCTTGTCGTTCACTATCTATCTAGCAAACTAGCTCAGTCTGTTCATATCTGTTTATCTGTCTATCTATCTATCTATCTATCTATCTGTCGTTCTATCTATCTATCTATCTATCTATCTATCTATGTCAGTCTGTTTATTATCTATCTATCTATCTATCTATCTATCTATCTATCTATCTATCTATCTCATTGTGTTCCTATCTGGGTCTATCTCAATCTATCTGACAACTTCAATCGGTTTACCTATCACAAGTCTGTTCATTTCAATCTGGTCATTATCTATCTATCTATCTATCTATCTATCTATCTGTCTATTATTCTTTGGTCACCTAATTCTTTATATATGTACAATTTATTTCAGTTCATCGATTTTGTTTGTCGCTCACTATCTATCTATTTAGCTAACTAGCTAACATATCTCGGTTTGTACATGTCAGTCTATCTATCTATCTATCTATCTATCTATCTATCTATCTATCTATCTATCTATCTATCTATCTATCTATCTATCTCAGTTTGTTCATATCCGTTTATTGATCTCTCGCAATCTGTTCATATATTTCTGTCTGTCAACCTAAATCTGTTTACCTATCTCAGTTTGTCTGTGTCTTTTCATTACAATCTGGTCAGTATCTATCTATCTATCTATCTATCTATCTATCTATCTATCTATCTATCTATCTATCTATCTATCTATCTAGTCTGTTGATACATATATAAGCATATTAATACCATCTATCTATCTATCTATCTATCTATCTATCTTGTTCTTTCATCTCTTGAGACTGCTTATTGGCTAAGGTAGTTGCGATTATTCTATCCAACACCATCAGTCGGCATTCGAGGCTTGGTAAAAGTTAGCATGCCAAACGCTTCTTTTTTTTACAATAAACAGCTATGAAATCTTGGCGCAACGCATTCTTTCTGTCCACTGGTCCTTTTACAACTTTTTACTGTCTCTCTCTATATATCTCTCTTTCTTCCTCTCTCTCTCTCTTTCTTCCTCTCTCTCTTTCTTCCTCTCTCTCTTTCTTCCTCTCTCTCTCTCTCTCGCCATTCATCACTACCTTCATAGACACGAACACAATGTATATAAATAAATACATGTTCCCCCCCAACCAAACCCCAGACTTATTTTTCTATTGTGGCAATAAATAAATTTAATTATTAATAAGATGCAATTTTAACCGAACTCTCCTAAATAAATGCACACTCTCCTTTTTCTAACTTTTATTATCGTGACTCGCTTGAATTCGAACAATATAAAAGAAATCTGAAAACTTTTCAGATTCTAGGAAACCATTCTACAAGTCTTCAAAAAGGAAGAGAAATATTTTTCGTGCCGTTTTTTTTTTTTTTTTTTTTTTTTGCAATATGCGTACAGGTAGTATAAACTGTGGAAAGTGGAACCGATATCCCGAGTTCAAATTCCAGATTAGTCAAATACGTTAGGCTCCGCACTTATCTCTTTAGAAAAGTCATGAACCTACTTTTTCCCCTGCTATAGATTAAAATGGTAAGACAGTGTAGGACTACTCTGAATTAAAACTATGGCAAAGGTAACGAAAAGTACTCTTTTATGTTTTCCAAGAAATTAACTCAATTCGCAGATAATGAAATAAACGAAGCTGTGGAGAGCCACGATCACCTAGGTTCTGAGAAGAGATGGCATTAAAAATATACAGAGTTCTTACCGTCATATGCCAGGAATTAATTAAATATTTAATACTACTTTGGAGAAGTAAAATGATTTGAAAATCTGTGTGGATATAAAACACTTTGCATTCTTTATTGGGTAAACGGCTCTTAGTAAAAATCTGGCGCAAACACCATATCTATCTATCTATCTATCTATCTATCTATCTATCTATCTATCTATCTGTCTGTCTGTTCCCATCTATCTATCTATCTATCTATCTATCTATCTATCTATCTATCTATCTATCTATCTATCTATCTATCTATCTATCTATCTATCTATCTATCTATCTATCTATCTATCTATCTATCTATCTATCTATCTATCTATCTATCTCCTGTTCCCATTTATCTATCTATCTGTTCATATCTATCTATCTATCTATCTATCTATCTATCTATCTATCTGTCTATCTATCTATCTATCTATCTATCTATCTATCTATCTATCTATCTATCTATCTATCTATTTTCTGTTCCCATCTATCTATCTATCTATCTATCTATCTATCTATCTATCTATCTATCTATCTATTTATTAGCGTTAGGTTAAATTGCTTTATCGGATAATTTTCATATTTTTTAAAAAGCTTTTAAAGGAGATTTTAAAATTAAAACGAAACCGGTTCAGACAAATTTTCAAAAATAAATAAGAATTTATTCAGAAACTAAAAAAAAAAAAGCAAAAACCACGAAATAGTGGCGGAAACAATTTTTTCGCATGATAAAGTGGAAATATTACTTGAAATAACGTGATCTGCTTTTGGTCACATGAACACTTTGCTGTAAGTAATTCTGTAACAAAGCAGTCTTTTGAGGTGATTTTTATTTATTTATTGCCCTGTTCTTTCAAAGAACCAATGACAACTTCAGACTGAAAAGCAATTCAAAAGTTTTCTTTCTTTTATCATCTCGTATAAAGCTGTACCAAAAAAATGGTTCTTTACACGAAGACAGATCTGAGTTCTTGTAACGTCTGCAATGTAGATAATAAGTACATGCTACGCATATACTTATCAATACCTACTTTGACGCTAACGATCTACTTGACGCATCAACTTAATTCTTATGTTGTTTCTGAAGTATACAGAACATCTTAGGAACGGCTTTAAATAATTACAAATAAATAAATCGTATATAAACCAATCAATAAATACATTTATAACTCAGATGCATTTAGTCAATTGTAATCAAAATCTTTACATCGTAGTCATAAAAGAGTATTTATTTTATAATCTGGGTATATCAATATACATATTATACACGCACATACACACACAAACATACATGTCGCGATGTCATCAATGTAGCCGTAAGTTCTATGCTAACAGTTTCTTTTCTCGCACATCTCGCTTGTGGAACGCCTTTCTGGCTCCATAGTTTCCTGCCAATTTTAATCTGCAAAAATTTAAATACAATGTCAATCGCTATCTACTGCTATCCGGATTACTTTTTTCTCTTCACGCTCATTGTTAATGTTTCTGTTCCTAATTCTTCCACACTCCGTAACCCTTTGCGTCTTAGTGGCTTTTCTGCCTTTAATGGGGGGGGGCGATTAAAAAAAAGAATATATCGCTGGCTAAAATGAAATTAACAAATCCATAATGGACGCAAATTTTAGCTTTTGTAATGTTCTTATTTTTTTTAAACTTTGTTTTCGACACAAGGTATATACAAGAGGAGGCCAAACATTCTTAATGTAAATATAAAGTTAAGATGTTCGAGGGCCGCAAGACATTAACAAAATTGACAAATACGTTTAACATTAAACTTACGTTTTAATCCAGTAGAGTCTTAATTCATCCTCAGTAAATTATTATAAAGCCTGGAATTTTCCTTATTTACCTTTTATATTAACTGTGGTGAAAAAAGCAGTTCGCGCAACATATCTCCACGAGCCGCATATTAAAGGTCAAAGAGCTGCATGTGGCTCATGAGCCGCAGTTTGGTCAACGCTGGTATATAGCAACTGGAAAAGGTTGGTCCAAGTGGATTACCCATAGTAACGCCGTTTATTTGATCATAGCTATTACCACTATGTTAATTGAAAGGAACTAGCTTTGAAGGCGTGTAGTAGTCCGATGAGAATATTTCTTTTGATTTAGTAATAATAACAGTATTACATCCCTAAACGCCTTTCTTGTAGATTCCTATAACAATACATTTAGTACCTGAACTATTTGCATGGGCATATATATATATATATATATATATATATATATATATATATATATATATATATATATATATGATTTTGTATCATTTATATCTCAACAAACATTATTTAGAAAAATATGACACTGAAAATTTCTTGTGACGCGTTTCATCAAATTAAATCATAACGGATGAAATTAGTCACAAAAAAATTCCAGTTTGTGAAATTATATATATATATATATATATATATATATATATATATATATATATATATATATATATATACCCAGTAAATTAATAAAATTTCAATTGACTTATCTTTCAACCAATATCAAAGTTACGAAGAGACACCGTTCATCAGGGTCTGCTAAATCTATTGAATTATTACCAGATATCGTATTTAAACTCTCTTTACGAAACGCTAATCAGAGGCGCCAGACAAATTTCAAATCTGAAATTTATATTTTGCCGTTTAAAAATGACAATATTTGAATACTCAAAAGCATAATTGTGCATATCGAGAGAAAGAGGGAGGTGCTTAGGGTGGTTATATAAGATTTGAATTAGTATTTATATTAGTATATTAGTATTTCTATGATTACAATATATCGAGGAAAGCGTTGGTGGAACTACCGCTATATTTATTAGTTAGGTATGGTTGGGTCAGCTCATTTAGAGTTTTAGATAAGTTTATGTAGCAAGAATTAATTAAAGTATTTTTTAAGATTGCGTCCAAAACTGTCGCAGACCAGATCAAATTTAAGAAAAAACTATCGAAATTTCATAATATTTTTATTGAAGTATTTTCAACCATCAGTAAAACACTGGTAACACACACACACACACACACACACACACACACACACACACACACACATATATATATATATATATATATATATATAAAAAAAATTTCTGATGAGTGTATCTGTCAAGTGAAAAAATGGATAAAAAGAGACAAGAGGAAAACTATTTATAATCGACGCATTTCATCCTTTGAAATCCTCCATTGCCTTGATAAAGTCCCTCGGAGGAGGGAAACACTTCGACTAAGAATAGTTTCTCCTCCTTTTTATTCATAAATGTGTGTGTGTGTGTGTGTGTGTGTGTGTGGAGAAAATGCGTATATATATATATATATATATATATATATATATATATATGGTTGGATAGATGTGAGTTTGTGTCCCTGGGTTTCACGCGATCGTAGCTCTATCTCTGATATTGAGCGCTTTCTAATAAGTACCGCGTATATAATATATAAATAATTATACATATATATATTTATTTATTTATATTTATATACACTTTTCACATATATATATATATATATATATATATATATATATATATATATATATGTGTGTGTGTGTGTGTGTACAGATAAACACAAAATATAAGAAGAGGATTTATAGATCAGATAAGGACACACTCGCATAAAAAGGCCCCTTCTTCCCATTCATATTACAATCCTGAAGAAGGCCGTCGAATTGATCGGCTGGAATTTTGTGTAACAACTCGAACAGCAATGGCAGCAACAGTCGTTCAAACAACTTCTGGAAACTTTCGCCAGACAACTTTTCTGAATAAGTCTTTATTACTTCGCAAATCTGGAAGTCTGTGAATTTTAAGCGAGATATTTTCTACTAGATATTCTCTAACGGGAACACGAGAAATGTTGCGTGCTGAACAACAGTCGCCCTTCCCAAGAAGGGAAGACAATAAATAAAAGAAAAGAAAAGAAAAATGGAGAGAAAATAGAGAGAGAATTTTATTTTGGGGATTCTGATATTGGTTTCTTATTGTTTTCTGGCCGTTTATAATGAGTTGAGCAATACATACACACACACACACACACATATACACATATATATATATATATATATATATATATATATATATATATATATATATATCAGTTCCCAAGAGGATAGAATCCAGGTAGAACTCAACGTCCAGGAAAGAGTAAGAATATAATACAAAGACTCAAACACTAATATTCCATAGAATATTAGTGTTTGAGCCTTTGTATTATCTATCTATCTATCTATCTATCTATCTATATATATATATATATATATATATATATATATATATATATAAAAATGTGTGATGCATAAGTTGTCGTCTAAATTACGCAAAAATTAAAATAACACTGCCATCTCATTTTAACAGAAGTATTTAATAAATTACCCCCAAAATATCTTGTAATACTAAAGAGAAAATTTATTCCATAAATTCGCCATTGGCTTCAACCACGACCTCCAGTCGACTTCGGAATCTCCTGAAACTCTTCTGGGTGGTCTCCTTGTTTAAGTTGGGGAATTCTTGCCTTCAGTTTATCTCTGGTGTTACAAGCTGTTTTGTTTGTCACTCCCTCAACTGCCCCTCCACACACATAATAATCAAGGGGTTGCATTCTGGAGAGTTAGGTGGGCAGATATAAGGGGTGATTTGGTCGCAAAATTACCAGACAACCATGACTGGTTTCTCCTGCTTGTGTGGCATGGTGCCAGACATAGGGTCTTCCAGTAGCCACCCCCTTGACCAAGTCCGGCACGACCTCCTCAAAGCACTTGACGTAGGCCTCCACGTTCAGTCTGAGCCCCTGTGCGAAGATAAATGAAGGTTCGCCATCACTAGTGATCACTCCAAACATCATGATGTTGACTTATTCAAGTCTTTCCCAATCCTCTGTATTGACCTCATATTGACACTCAATTACTTCTTAAATGTTCATACTAGAGCTTCCATCGCAAATGCCAACCACTACAGTATGCCATTTCCTAATTTCTGGCGGAATGAATTGCGTCATGTTGCTCTTTTTCTCACAGACAGTGCCCAACTGACCCTACTATACTGTTCAGTCGACAAAATAAAAAAAAAACAGCGCGCATGCGTGAAATTAAAATATAACATAACGATAGTTTACCCACCGCACCTTATATATATATATATATATATATATATATATATATATATATATATATAATAGAATAGATAGGTTCTCCTATCGTCTGGTTAACACTCCTCCCAGTATTTCGAACAGGCGTAGAGGTTTATCCCTTGTTTCCTGTCTCGGATTGAGTTTAAGCTTCCTTCTAAAGTTTACTTCAACGCTATACTCTTAACTCCTGTCATTTTTTACGGTAATACAACTCCACACAGTAACCCTCTACTTTGAGTGACTCTTGGACCTTGTATTGAGTGAACATTAACAATATATATATATATATATATATATATATATATATATATTTCAGCACACACGCGATTTAAAATTAAAAAAAAATAATCATTAAGATATGGTGAAATGTTCTCGGCCGAACCTGGTGACCAAAATCTGACCTAATCAGTAAACTTCAAATATTGTTTGAAAGGTGTT